GCAGAAGGCTGCGAGCCCAGCGCCCTCCGCAGGCCCGGGGGAGGGGACCCTGAAAGCCTGCCAGAAGGCCAGGACTTGGGAGGTCTGGACCCTGGGAGGGCAGAACCCTGGGCTGTTGTGGGTTCTGTATCCCGGAACTACCTGGACCCCGGGAGGACAGTAACCGGGACCAGGCAGACCCGTGGGAAGACAAGAGCCTGCACCAGGCTGGACCCTGGACCAGGCTGGACTAGGGGTGGGTAGAATCCTAGAGCAGACGGAACACGGAGCCAGGCTGGATTCCAAGCGGACTGGACCCGAGAGAACAGAACCTAGGAAGACTGGGATCCCAGACGGGTTGGACCAAGCACCAGGCAGGATTCCAGAGAACAGGACCCCGGAAGAACAGGAGTCTGGACCATGCTGGGTCCAGGGAGATCAGGACCTCAGATCAGACAGGACCCCAGACCAGGCCAGAAATACTGGGACTGGGCAGATTCCTCCTGAGGACAAGTGGAGACCCGACCCTTGGATTGGTCACTGGGGGGAGGGTCAGTACTAGAGACCCGACCAGATTCTAGGAAAGGTCATTGAGGAAGACTTGATCTCAGGACCCGACAGGACCTAGAAAATGCCAGAATATCTGAGATGGTCCAACTCAAGATAGATTACAGAGGAGGGTTAAGACCCCGAGACCACCCCACGGAGGGCCAGGACTCTGGGACAAGGCCATAGGAAGGTCAGGACCCAGGGACAAATCAGCTGTAGAGAGCTGAGAAACCAAGGCTGGCCCAGAGGAATCTGGACCGCCATGGTGGTCCTTAGAGCAGTTTGGAGCCCCGAGGGTCAACTGTGAAGAGGGTTCAGAATATAGACAGGCTTCAGGACAAGCAGAACCAAAGGTGGGTCGCTTTAGGGTGTAAACCTTGGGGCTGAACGACGAGACGAGGGAGGTCCCCAGGGAGTACATGGATAATAGTTGGAACTTCAAGGCAGGGGGGCTTGGGACTCCAGACATATGGACCCCAAAATCTGAAAAGATCACTAGGCACTGGGGATCCAGGGGTAGCCCAGATCTACCCAGCCCACACTGGACCTTTTCTGTGAAGTGCTTACATGGTTATTCGAGCACAAGGATTCAAACCCTGCACTTCCCACAAGTCCCCGAGCACCCTGATGTTATGGAGTGGGTGAGGGTCTTGGTCTTAGGATAGTTACAAGGCAAAGTTGGAGCTCATCCTGGCTCCAAGGACTCGGGTATCAAGGGCATGCCCTGTACTTGTGGCTCCATGCCCTAGCCTCCAAGCTGCCTCCCCTGCTCTCCCCAGCTCCTATAGGACTGTGCCTTTCCCTAGTCTTGGCCACAGGTCAGTGACTGCACCTACACTCCACTTTCTCTTTCCATCGGCCATGAGGGTGTGTACAGAGGCTAGAGGTGTATCCAGTGGGGAGGAGGCACTCGCTGGAGGAGTAGGTAGGAAGGTGAGGTTAATGGGCAGAGAGGACTAAGGGGCTGTTGCATGGATGAGCACCTAGCACCCACTCTTCTGTTTCACCCCTGAAAAGGAAAGCATTAGAGGACCTTGGGAACAGGTTTTTGTTTCTCTGAAATCTTCCCAGTCTGTCTGTCATGGAGAACGCAATGTTTGTAAAAGTGAAATGTGCTGCTGACTAGAGCGAGTACTGAGATGTTCACTGGAAACCTGATGTATTTCAAGATGAAAAGCCTGGGGGATTCTGGAGTGGCCTAGCTCCCACACAATGGGTGTGTTCCCTTGTGGAAGCTCTGTTTGGTCAGGCTGCATTTAAAAGGGTGAGTCTAAACTCTGGGCTGTTTAGATTTCCAAGAGATACTTGAATTGGTCAATTCCATGTTTAATTTTGAACCACTTTACTTCTTGGTTCCTGGTTAAAAACAAATCTAGGTTCCTTAGCACTGATGTCAACTGAATTGTGCTCCTGAATGGCCCAAAGTGGAAAGTTGTGTTCGCCAAGTCTCCTCCCCTTGAGACCCTTGTACTCAGAGCTTCTGGTTTGTTCTTTGGTTGTGCCCTTTGCTGTATTTGCTGTGTGAACTTTTAGTAAAGAATGAGAATTTGTCTAGGTTCCATGATGCGCTCCATCTTCCCATAGAGCAGTGTTGAAGGGTTATGTTATTTATATGTTGCTATACAACAGATTACCCCAGAATATAGTGCCCTGAGCCAAAAATTGGTTCCAGTAGAAGGGGAAGAGCCCAGGCCTGACCTTGTAGGTCTTGCCGCCAAGTTTCATAGGCCTGTAGTCAGGGTACTAGGCTTCCTTTGGGGGTTCCACGGGAAGTCTCCCAATCCAGGCTCCCTTCTGCATTGCCAGCCGGAGACCCAGTTCTTTTCCTGGGGCATCTCAAAAGGACAGTGGAGAAGGGGCCGATGGTAGAGCAAGGCAGCCTCTGGAAGGAGGCACCAGGCTTTACAGTGTACCCTTGAAAGTGGTATGTCATTACTTCTGCTGAATGAAGACACAAGACCCTGGAAGAGAAAAATCTCACAAAGTGGGTGTACCAGAAGGTGGATCAGGCTTTGCCATATTGCTGTCAGCCAGGTGTTTATCAAGTTTTAAGTATCATATTGCCCATACCCAAGAAAATTTCTTAAGTTATGTGTAGCTCTCGACATGGTAGCTCACACCTGTAGCCCCAGCATTTGGGAGCTGAGACAGAAGAATTGCAGTGAGTTTGAGTTAGAGGCAAACCTGAGCTATAGTAGTGAATTCCAGGCCCACTTTGGGCTAGAGTGTGATCCTATCTCAGAAACAAAAATAGTTGTGTGTAGAGTTAGAATGAGGCCTGTAAATAACATGTCTGATGTCACTGTAAAAGTTCAGATGATTGTGGTGCATATACGTATTCTATTTATGAGGCATCTGAAACCAACAGGAAATGTCCGTTAGTTAACTTACCATTTGGAATGCTCTGGCAACAGCCCCCTATGGACAAAGTGGAGTGTAGGAGCATAGTGTCTAATCTCTGGGTGAGGGGTTTCCAGTATTCTGAAAACCTTGCCATGTTATTCTGAAATAAGTTATAAACCAACCTTCTAGTTTTTCTTGCATCTTAAATAAAAGTGTCTTCTCCTGGTACATTGGACCACATGCATTTGGTTGTAAGTGGCCTTTTCAAAATAGTATGTGAGATGTGAGATTCTGAAAAGGTTGGGATATTTGTCCCTTGTGGGAATATTATGCTCAGAGATGTCCTACAGACAGGAGCCCCTTTTCCTCAGCCCAGACCCTGTGAGTAGTCCTGGAAGATGGCTCAGGGTACTTCTCTAACGTCACTCTGAATGTCCTTGCCCCGATGGCCACCTCCCCATCATTTTTGGACTTTGGGAGGTCCCATCTCAAGTTCACAAGGTCATTGGCTACAATTGTTGGAGTTTTATTTGTGCTTTAGAACAAGGTTTGTTAGTGTTGTTATTCCTTAATGATCAAATTTATTATTTGCTGCCTTATTTGTTTGATGTTCAGAATTGGATTTAAAGTTGAAGTTGTAAGTTTTCTTTATTTAGAAATACATTGAGGTTGAAAGTCAGTTTCCTGTTGTCTGTTGTTACCCTAACAATCTTACCATTCATATTGCAAGAATGCTGCACAATACATTATGCTTCAAAAACTGGAACTATTCCTTAGTACTCTGAATTGACTATCATTACATTTAGCTGGGTATGGTAATATATGCCAATGGCCCTTGCTAATACTCATGAAACTGAGACAAGAAGCTCAGAAGTTAGACCAGTCTGGGCAACACAGTGTAACCTGGTTCAAAAAATAAACTAGTCAATCTCAAAGATAGATGAAGCCTTTAAAAATAAGAAAACACTCTTCTCTGCCACATACCTAATTACAGAATTAAATTGTACAAAAGCCAACAGGATGGGGGGTAGTTATAAGCTTAGCCCACTGTTGTTGTTTGTTGTTGTTGTTGTTGTTGTTGTAGACTACCCATGGAATTGACCAGACTCCCCCTGACAGGAGCAGCATTTGCTAGAGATGCTGTCTCCCTCTGCCTGTTGTTGACTGTGTTGTATTAAACTGACTTTACAATGTTTAGGTGGACCTCAAGAATGGAGGTTAATTGGATTTTTCTTTTTGAAAGTTCACTGATAGTTGGTGGACTTTGCTGTATTATTGGTAATTCTACAATAAGAAGCATATAAATGGTGAGATGTTTATAAACTTCCCCAAAGCCCCTGATCAACCCCACCATCTTGTCTTGTGTTGGTCTTGATCTTGGTGGCAAGTGCCTTTACTTCCTGAGCCATCTCACCAGCCACCACCTTTTGATTTTTATTTAAGTGTTTGCCAGAGCAAATGACAACAAAACTCAAACACAAAACCCTAGTGGAACAGAAATGCAACAACTATAATCAGTGGGCATCTGCTGTGGCCCCAGTGTTGTTTTCATTCCTCCCAGTTTTTTAGATTGAAGTTGTTAACTCAAAGATGATTGCATAAGAAATGAGCTTTGTAGGGAGGCTCTGTCCTCAAAAACAGAATAAATGCCTTATCAAAAATCCTGAGAGCTCTTCCATCCTTTCTGCTTCAAAGGACTTGACATGGGATTGGGTCTGAACAAGCCACAA